GGCCTGCCACTCCATGCGCCAGGATGCCCGGGGGAGGGGCTGAGTCCCCGTCCCTGGAGGGATTTAACAGCCGGGGAGATGTGGTGCTCGAGGACATGGTTTAGTGGTGGCCTTGGCAGCACTGGGTGAACGGTTGGACTTGATGATCTTAAAGGTCTTTTCCAGCCTCAATGACTCAGTGATTCTATAGGCACCGTGCACGTCTTCCCTTCAGAGCGGCCCAAGATTGCAGAAGTGACGGGCACAGGAGCGTTTCGGTGCTCAGCCTGCCTCCTGCCGCATGGTTCGACGTCGCCTGCCTTGAGCTGCGGCTCTGCGCAGGGCCAGGAGTGATGGCGAGCCTTGCTGGGTCTCGCCTACCCGCCCTCGCCGTGGCCGCGTGCCTTCGGCGGTGGTGGGCTCCAGCCGCCGCTCTTTCGGAAGCGTCCCTGGCTGCAGCCGCTCCCTGAGGGAACTCTGGGGTCTGTGGGGAAGGGGCTTCTCCTCCCCCAGCTCCCCTCTCCATTTCGGGGAGGACCTGGGAGCGTCCCGGAGCCTGCGGCACTGCGGGGCTTCCAGCCCGGCCGTCCTTTCCAGGCTGCTTCTGGCCTCTCGCTTTCCCCTGCAGCCGCTTCCCTCCTCATTTCAGTCCACCGAGTCGCTCCGGTTTGTTACCCAGAGCTGGAAGCGCGGATATGAAGCGCTCGCTCTCTGTCTCTGCGTGCTCGGCTTGCCTTTCTCTGCCGCCTTCTCCAAAATCCCATCGGCTGTGAGTTTGTATTGTGCCGTGAAGGCTTGTGGCTTTTCCCCGAGCCCGGACGGCACGGTCCTGGCCGAGGAGAGCCGGCGCTGTGACCAGCGGGACAAGCCCAGCACAGAGGGATTTGGAGAGACGCTGCCTCGCGGGGGAGACGCGCTCAGGGGGGATTTCAGGGCAGCGCTCTTGGCGAGGGCTGTGCCGGTTCCCCCGACCACCGCCGGTCGGCCGGGGCCAGCTGGAGGGCGGTGGTGTGCCGCGGGACGGGGCAGGCAGCATTTCCCAACCGGGAGAGAGGTCGGAGCGCGCGTTCCCGAGGCCTTGCCCAGCCGTCCCCGGCTTCGTGCTGCCAGCTCCCCGTCCGTGAAAGGCCGGCGTTTTGCCCGAGCTGGTGCTGGGGAGCCGAGGTGGAGTCGGAGCTTCCCCCGGCCGCGGGAGGGCTGTCCGGAGGGACGGGGTTGTGGCGTCACCCGCCTGGGCACGAGGGAGAGCCGGCGACATTCCGGCTGCTCCGCTTCCCGTTTGCAGAGCGGTTGTGGAAGGGTTTTGGGATGAGAGGAGCCGCTGTCTCACCGAGTTACCCCTGAGGAGTGCAGGAGCGGGCGGAGGGGACCGGTGCCGTCCCGGTGCAGAGTAACCGGCGGCCCCAGGACTCCGACAGCGCATCCCAGGGCCGCTTCTGGCTTCCAGGGGAGGACGATGGTGGCCTTGGCCTCGTCTGGGGCTACAGGCGTCTCGCCGGGGGCTGTGAAGCCGTGGCGGGGCTCGCCTCGGAAGTGAGCGCGGTGGGTGGGATGCCGGTGGCCCGCGGGCAGTGCGGGGGTTTCGTACACGTGGGGCCGTTCCGGAGCAGTGTCACTCGGTGCGGTGGTGCAGCGAGTGAATCCTCAGGGGTTCAGAGGGGCGGCTGAGGGGGCCGCATCCGTGCTGAGGGGCCGGGGCCTGCCCGGGCAGGGACGCTGCCTGTTCTGCCCACACTTCATCAGAGGGCAGTTCAGCCGACGGCGGGAGGCGCGCCGGCTCCTTTCGCCTCAACGCCTCTCCGATACCACTCCGTACGCTTCGGTTGTGCTGCCGAGAGAAGGAGGGGTGGCGCTGAACGCTACCGAAACAGATGAAGGACATCACCCTTTTAAAGAGAGGCCAAACGCTGCGTCCCACTTACGTTCGTTATTTTAGTTTAAAAGTCTTTAACAGATTGCTTCTTGCGGAGGGGAGCCGGGAGCAGGCTGCGTGCTGGGGAGCCGGCGAGCTGCTGCCGGTGGGTTCGAGTTAAAAGCGGTAAGTGCGGGAAGCCCGCGAAGCCCCCGACTGCGCTTGACATCTCCGAGACCCGGGATGCACGGAGCCGAAGGCTGCCCGAGTGCGCACCGCTTCCATTAAAGCCTTTAGAGGGGACAAAACCGCTGAAAGTAGCACAGAACAGAGGGTGGCTTTTTTTTCCGAGCTCTTCAGGTTAAAAATATTTGAAAAGTGGGACAGGACGACAGGATTCCTGGCTTATTTCGCCAGCCTCACGTGTGAAAGCCTCAGGCGCCGGAGAACGTGCCGCGGGGAGCGAGCCTGCTTTGGCCGGAGGGGAGATTGTCGTCGCCGGCACGTAAGCGATGTGGCAGCAGGTCGGCCACGGAGCCTCCTCCTGACCTGGGACGGCGGGATGACGGCAGCCCCCCGAGCCGAGGCTCGTTAGCTGCCCGCGTGATTGCTCTCCACGCGTCGCCGGGGGGTTTCCCCTGCGTGGAGCAGAGCCTGCGGCGCTGCGACCGTGTCCTCGGCCGCTGCGACCGTGTCCTTGGCTACTGCGACCGTGTCCTCGGCCGCTGCGACTATGTCCTCGGCCGCTGCCTCGTGCCCTGAGGAAGGTTCCTGCTATTTTTTCTCCCTCTCTAATGCCTCTGCAGTCGTTCTCTTCTCCCCGTCAGCACTTTTCACCCCGATCCACAACGCGAGCAATGCCGCAGCAGAAATATCTCCTCTCTGCCAGAGTCGGCCTTGCAGGCAGGCCCAATCCTGCCCACTGCCAGCCTTGAGAGCACTGCCTCCCCTTGTGCCGGCTTTTGGGTGCCGGCTGATCTCCCTCACTGCACTGTGGGAGGATAAACGGGAACGCCGCGTCCGCCGGCCAACGCTGCCTGCACCCTGGCGCGTTCTCTTTGAAGTCGGCGGCCTTGGTTCTTCCTTCTCCCCGCGCTCCTGGTTGGTTTGGAGCCCGCGCCGTTCCTGTCACGACTTTCCCGGGACGTCTGCCGGAGGCGGGGAGCCCCGCGCTGCGTGCAGGACAGCAGGATAGTCTTTCGACCTCCAAACCACTTTCTTTTTGCTCTTTGCTGAGCAGAATGTCTTCGCTCCGCTGCCGGCATCCGTGCGCGCGCCGTTTCACTGAGTACTTGCAGATTGGTGGGATTTTTCCATTTTCGGATCCTGGGTGGTTTTTACACCTCCCCGCCCTCCCCAAACCCTGCCGCAGGGTCCTGGCTGGGCTGGTGGAGCCCCTTAACCTGGCCCAAAACTCCTGCCTGCAGCATCTGCCTTTCGAGATGCTCATTAACCCTTGCGCAGGATATTAAAAAGGCAAAAAGGGCCCTATAAGCGCCGGGTGCTCCCTGCTGGCCAGTGCTCCTGTCGATTTATAGCCTCGCCGACCGTGCCGCGCCGTGGCTTGCGGGCGATTTTGCTACGGCGGGAGGAGAGCCGGAGCTGCTGTGTCGGAATATTTGCCATTTTGGGTAAAAGACTGACCGTAAGGCTCGTTTCCCGCTGCCGTAGGAGGATGGGGGGCAGAGGGCTGCCAGACCCGTGCCAGCTCAGCGCCGCATCTTGCCCTCTCTTGGCAGGGAGCCGGGGTTTCGCTACCTGCCCATGTTTCCCGTGTCGTTCAGCTGAAACGTTTCTTCTGTGGCTGCGTATCCCCTTTCCCAGGGTGCTGCCTGGAGGAGGGGGAGCAGCTGGGCTGGCTCGCAGCGGGACTCGTGGCCCTCTCCTCCGTGGCCCGGCCGGCTGACGCAGCACGTTTCGCCATACGGTTGCTCCTGGAGGGCTCCGGCTCGTACCGGAGGGGCTGCCCCTACCCGGGGGGGGGCCAGCGGGGGGGGGGGGGGGGACCGGGGCCGGTGGGCTCCTGGAGAGCTGCTGCTGTAGCGGGTCGGGGTCTCGCTGCGGGGTCCCTGTGGCTCACGTCGTCCCCGGTTGTTGGGGGACGGAAGAGCTCTGTCCCCCGTGTCCTTGGGGAGGTGACAGGGTTTGGCACAGAGCTCCCTGGCCTCTGCCAGATCCGGCTCTAACCTCTGCTCGTCCTGGGCGCCAAGAGCTGCCTCCGTCCCCGCCGGGTGCCCAGGGAGAGGCCTGGGGCGGCGGCGGCAGGAGCTGAGCCGATGCCGCGGCTGCGCGGAGAGGAGGCGAACGTGGGGACGTTGCCGGTGGGGGTTCAGAGCTGGGCTGGCCGTCCCCGGGCTGAGATGGGCCCTTTCTCCGTGTCCGTGTCCTCCGTGGCGTTTGGCCCCATCTTGGCACTGCCGACTTCTTCTGTTGTCATCCCTGTTTTACCGTTTTCCTCCCATCGGGGAGGCAGGCTCGTGCCAAAGCTGCGGGTTCGGGGAGGACCCGGTGGTGCTCGCCCCTACCTGCTGCGGGGCTGCCGGGGGCTGCAGAGCGGAGGGAGGTTCCTGCCCTTGGCTTAAGCGGCCTCCAGGGCGGGCAGAGGGGTTTGGGGGGGAGCGGACTGGGCTGGGAAGGGGCGTGAAAGAGGACAGCCCAACCTTCGGCTCTGCGGACCCCGGAGCCTGCTTCCCGGTCCTGCCCGCCCTCGCTTTCCGCAGCCCCTCTCCACTCGGGATCGCTCGGCAGCCCCGACGCGCGCCCCCTCTTTCCCCCTTTCTCTCACAAGTGTGCCTTGGTCTCATCCCAACTCATGTGTGTTTGTATTTTTAGGGTGATTGAGGCACTGCGCCTCTGGCCGTGGAAGCATGTCGGGGCCAGTGCCGAGTCGGGCCAGGGTCTATGCAGACGTGAACACTCAGAGACCCCGCGAGTACTGGGACTACGAGTCGCACGTCGTGGAATGGGGGTACGCCTGGGAGATAGGAGGGGGAGCTACGCCAGGGCCCGTGCGCGC